TCTAGAATAAACTATGATGCTTGTTTAAAATATTTAGAGACAGTGGACTTTTCTTTTATAAATACCTCATCTGATGCAAAGGAAGCCGCATCAACTTTAGTAGAAAAGCTGGCTAATGCAATTTCACTTCATTCTAATTCCCGTCGTATCCCTAATAAACAAAGAACGCTAAAACCATGGTTAACTATTGGTCTTTTGCATTGTATTCGCCACAGAGACAAACACCATCTAAAATTATTGTAACTCTTTGTTGTGAAAACTTAAAAGAAATTATGACAAGTCACTGATACGAAACGCGAAAACTAATAAAGATACTTGGAATTCAATTAAATCTATAATAAATTACACAAAACAAAAAAGCTGATAATCTTTTGAGATCTGCTGAAAATGCTGTTCGTGATGTAGAAGCCAAAAGCAAATATTTTTCTAATACCGGTAAACAACTAGCTGAAGCCGCGAATATATCAAATCAAAACAGCTCTCCATACAATTTCACAATTTTACCAGTCCCTAACTCTTTTGTGCTACTTCCACCAGATGAGGGCGAGATTGAATCTATTATTAGAAACCTTAAACATAACTCTGCTACTGGATGGAACTCCTTACCTGTGCAACTTCTCAAATTATCCGTACATCTCGTTGTTCCACCGTTGAATAAACTTTTTGAGCTGTGTTTTGCGCAAGGAATCTATCCAAAAGTTTTTAAAAAATCGCTGATCACTTCTGTTCATAAGGGTGGGTCTCGAGACGAAATGTCCAATTATAGGCCTATTTCAGTACTCTCTTCTATGTCAAAAATCTTGAAAAAACATTAAATTATAGACTTTTTAAATTTTTGGAACATAATAAAGTTTTATCTTCTTCACAATTTGGCTTTAGGTCGGGGAAATCCACTGAAGACGCAGTAATTCAATTAACAAAATTTGTGACATCAAAGGTTGATGCGAAGCAAAAATGTTTAGGGATTTTCCTCGATCTGGCCAAGGCGTTTGACACTGTCTCGATACTTATCCTTGTGAACAAGTTAGAACGCGTTGGTATTCGTGGCAATGCACTGATGTTATTTAAGGATTTTTTTTTATAGCAGAGGGGGCAAACGAGCATGCGGCTCACCTGATGGTAAGTGACTACCGCCGCCCATGAACAACTGCAACACCAGGGAGGGAATTGCAGATGCGTTGCCGGCCTTTTAAAAAGGAGTACGCTCTTTTCTTGAAGGTCCCTAAGTCGTATCGGTCCGGAAAAATCGCTGATGGTAATCGATTCCACAAGGAAGTCGTGCGATGAAGAAAACATCTTCTAAATCGCACAGTGGTGGACCGCCAATCATCCAGATGGTGTGGATGGTATCGGGAGTTCTGCCGCGATGTGCGTTCGTGAAATTTGGCGGCTGGGATTAATCCGAACAATTCCTCAGAGCACTCCTCATGGTAGATGCGAAAGAAAATGCAAAGGGATGCAACATCTCTTCGCAGTGCCAATGAATCGAGCCGATCGGAAAGGGCTCGGTCGTCGACGATTATTATATTATTATTATTATATTACGATTATTATTCGTGACCGCACACAACAGGTTAAAGGAGGTGAATACGTCAGTCCCGAGGAACCGGTTGTATGTGGCGTTCCACAGGGTAGTATTCTAGGACCTAGTCTCTTTTTTATTCTGTTATAATTTAAGGGACATTTACTGCTTAGGGTATGTCAGTCCCATCATACCCTAATATACATGACTTACTCATATAACGTTACTTAATAACTACATGGGCCATGGATTCAAACAGAACTTTCGCATCGTCACCATTTGGTTGGGATAGAATATTATGGAATGTGCCTACGTCAGTTCTGTTCAAATTCAAGATCCTTATGAAATTACTTCTAATAGACTCAAATCGAACACATTCCATCAATATATGGTATAGGTCTTCTATAACTCTACAGTCTTCACAATTGGGCGAAGTTGTTTTTCTCATTAGAAATAAATATTTCTTACATGGACCGTGTCCAGATCTGAGTCTATGAGCAGTAGTAACTAATTTCCTACTTAATCTAGTGTTCGTGAACCAGGGCATATGAAGAGGCTGACACTGTATGGTTTTGTACCATATTCCTTTTTCTAGTGACCGCTTGTTAAAGTATTCCTTCCACATTTCATAACAAATATTTTTGAATTTAGGTAAAACTTCTGAGTATATATATATATGTCTTAAATGTTTAGGATGCAAGCCCCAGGAGACACCAGCTAATACTTTAAGTAGATTAAGACTTCTTTGCACTTTCTCCACCGTCATGTTAATATGTTTGCGCCAACGCAACGACCTGTCCAACCAAACACCCAAATATTTGTAAGTGTCTACTATCTCTAAATTATGACTATCTAATTTTAATTCTATTTGCAGTCTTTTAAAACCCATGCTGAAAATGCAAATTTTAAACTTGGAGGCAGAAAGTTCTAGCCCCATTTCATCTAGAATGTTACGGAGTGTATTTAAAACAATTTGAAATTCATTTTGACTTTCACCAAAATTTCTAGAAGAGGAATAAAATACAAAGTCATCGGAATATTGACACATTGTCACGTTTCTAATCTCCTGGAAGCATTTAATGGTAAGTATATTAAAAAGAATAGGTGAAATTGGGTCACCTTGCGCCAAACCTTGATTTGTGTATCTTATGAAGTACTTATTCCGGTCAGTTTCATCCTGCATCATAAGGTGTGTTTCGCTTAAAAAATTCCATAGATAAGTATTGACAAAACTTTTTACCAATCCCTATTTCATCTAAAGTGTTTATCAGTATATCTACTAGGACATTGTTATACGCATTTTTGATATCTGGGAAACAGGCTATAGTTGGAGTCTTACGGGAAAATCCCAAGTAAATTTGACTTACTAGTTTGAATAGGCAGTCTTGACATGAATGTCCTCTTCTGAAGCCGGACGTGTACTGGGATAATAATTGATTTTTTTCAACATACCACTCAAGTCTTTTTGTCAACATTGAATGAAAAATTTTACAGACACACGATATTAAAGAGATGGGCCTAAGTTAAACATTATTATTATTCGAGACTTTTGGAATCGGCGTTACCAATATGTCACGCCATTGAAATGGAATAATTCCAGTGTTGAAGATATAATTATATAGCTCAAGCAAGTAAAGCCTACTGCCATGAGATAGATTATATATAAGTGAATATGTTATCCCGTCGTTACCAGGCGCTGTATCTTTTTGTTTAAAACAATTACACATTTCTTGTAGGGTGAAATTGGCTTCCAGTACTGTATTACTTGAATTGAAATACTCAGGCTTTGGGAAGACATAATCGGGAGCTAGCTTACAAAGGAGATCGAACTTCTGTTCGTTTGAAACGTGTGACCTTGAAGAATTAAATCCCTTAACCCAACCCATGCGTTTCCACATATCGGAGTTAGACGTTTGTTCGTCAATTCTGCTACAGTAACTTTGCCAATTTCTTGCCTTCGCTTGATTAATTGCATTTTTCGTCTCTTTTGTTTTGCGCTCGAGTATAGTGAGATTAGTTAGGATGGGGTTATTTCTAAAATTCTTCAAGGCCAACCTTCGTTGTGCTACTAAATGGGATAGTGTGGGATTCCAATAAGGCTTAGGCCGAAAGTTATTTTTGGGATTATCACAGCTTCTTACTAGCGGTATATGTTCGTCCGCAGCGTTATTCACTTGCTTAATGAAGTTATCATATAAGGATTGGACACTAACGTCATCTATAGTCTGTAATAAATAATTTTTTAAAGACTTGCTATACGCTGGCCATTTTGCTAGTTTAACATTACGCTTTTTAGTTACCCAAACTCGATTTATATTGCTATTATACTTATAAGAAATCTTAATAAACATATGGTCGCTTTCCAAGCTTTCATTCATAACCCTCCAGTTAAACGCAACGGATAAATCAGAGGAAACAAATGTCACATCAGGCGATGTCTGCTGAATAATGTTATTAACTAAAGTCATTCTAGTTACACTGCCGTCATTAAGGGATATAAAGCCGCATCATATATCTGTCCTCCTCTTCCATCGGTTTTAGAGGACCAGGTTGTATGGTGGCCATTAAAGTCCCCAGCTATAATACATTTATTCGGAAATAGTGAAAAAATTTGTTCCCAATCGGACAGACTTGTCCGCACGGAAGAGGAGCAATATATTAAAAGTATATTTTTAATTTCGTTACAGTTAAAAATACATGTGTGGGGGCCGTACTACAACAAAACGTAAGTGATGAATGGAAGCCTATAGGGTACTTTTCTAAAAAATTGAGTACTGCAGAATAAAAGTATAGTGCCTATGATAGAGAATTATTGGCAATATTTTTAGCTATTAGGCATTAGACAACAGTTAGTTATTTTAAAGACCACAAATCATTGATTCATGCTTTTAAGAAATGAGATAGCAACAAAGAAACACCCCAACGAACTAGGAAGCTGTTATTCATCAGTTCAAAAGTTTGATTGGAATAATTTCTATTCCCGAATTATTTATTATGATTGGACATTGTTGTACTTTAATCGACTTACAAATTATAATAGCAACCCCCCATAGCAATCTACCCTATCCTTTCTAAAATATTATAGCCACTAATATTTATATGTGAATCTGGTTCTAGCCAAGTTTCAGATATTAACGCTATATGTATTTTTTCTTGTGCTAATAAAAGGTCCAATGCGTTACGTTTGGGCCGCAAGCTTCGTGCATTCCACTGTAACATACACAGCTTAAACAATCTTGTACTATCGTTCGCCATTTCTGAACATAGATATTATTCTTGTACATATATCGTCTCTGTTCCAAATTTTAATAATTAAATTACCAAGTATTTCAAATAATAGTTTACCTAATTGTTGGAACTTAGTAGACCAATCGTTATCGTAACAAAATATATCTTTGACTCTTTGAAAAATGCTACCTAAATCTAAAATAAAATTTGAACTATTACTCTTAGACTCCGGATTTTGCTCTGTCTCCATTTATCTTGCTTCTGACTCACCGTTGCCCTTTTCTCTAGTCTTCCTATTCCCATCCGATCTTCCAGCCTCTGTATTCTTCCTCTCCAGCGCCCGCTCCTTTTCTATATGATTACGTCCAGAACTCTTCCCTTCGATAACCTTATTTGACGTCGACGAATCATTATTAATAAGTGTTTCTGTTATTACTATATCTCTGTACGATGTTTTCTGTGTATTCTGTGTGCTGTCAAGTTGTGAATCGTTAATGTTCCTATTCCTTTCAATGCTCTCACTTTTAGTGTATATTTCTTGACTCCCCTTGCCTTTTAAATATATTTCCCGAACTTTTCGATAAGTACAGTTTTGCTTCGTCATAATGTTTCCGATTTCTTTTTATTTTAAAAATATCGGACACTTTTTATGCATGGCCATATGTGGTCCTTTACAAACAAATTTATCGGTATCGCAATTTGGGTGATTGTTACCACATTTGGGACATATAATTTTTTTATTGGGCATAATCTTGAGAGGTGACTGAACTTCCAACATCCGGAGCACTGGGAAACTGGGAAGGTATAAGGTTCCACTTTAAACCTACAACCGTACCCATACACATACGGCGGTAAAGTGGTACCTTTGAAACAAATTCTTACCATTTCTGAATCGATCCATTCTCCACTATCAGACATTCTTCTGAGTCTTTTTATTGAAATGATTTCGTGCTCACATGAAAGATTTTCAAGAATTTCTTGTTCCTCGGTCTCTAAATCTATCTGCCTCAGTATTCCATAGCAAAAGGTAGTCTCATCAGCCCTTTGTGCTCGGTATCCTAAACTGGATAACTTTTCACTTTTTAGTAGTTTCACTGCACTTTCTTCGTTTCCAAAATGAATCAACACTCTGTAGGCACTTTTGTATATCATCTTCACTATATTTTCAATGTTTAACGACCGTAAAAGCTTTGCCATTCCAAATTGCTTCGGTAATACTTCTTTTCCTGTCATACATATAATAATATATTTCTTCGCCTCAGAATCTTGATGACCCTCCTCCACTAAATTATCATTATTTAAATCCTTTCTATTCAACCGCTTATGCCCTTTAATTACTGTAACAAATCCGTCTTCTTCCACTATTTCTTCATCATCCTGTCGTACTCTCTTCCCTGCGAGTCGTTGCTCTCTCTCTTCCTTCTTCCTCATCTCCTCGTTTAAGGTTTGATTAAGTTCTTGCTCACTTTCAAGTCTTAGCTCCTGCTCCATTGCTTCACTGTCAGTTGAGACACCTAAATCCACAGTTCCAAGTATGTCATCCATTTAAATTTAACATAATTATTATGTGGGTAGGAAGTTAAAATTAACGCAATAAAATATGCGGTAAAAATATGTAGCCAAACGTGTGCGTTCGCCTCTACTGCTCGCGCGCAACTGGCTAGTCTCTTTCTTATCTATATAAATGATTTATGTCGGCAACCAAAATTAATAAGCTAACAAATTTACATCCCATATATAATAGAAAAGTCAAAATTAAAATTAGGAACTGGCTATTAGGACTAGATTATTAGCAAACTGAATCGATCTTAGTATGAAACTTATCAAATAACATACAAAAATTTGTTAAATCTTAAATTACATCCACACGCACACGAACGCACGCACAAGCACGACCACTCATGCGCACTCACACAGATACATATCCACTTACGCAAACACACACACATGGTGGTAGAGCCATGCAGCAGCATTTGCTGTTGCACGTATGGGCAGGCTCGAGCCCGGCTAGTATCACGAACTCACAGAATACCGGCGTGAACTGGAAGCTCTGCTTCTGCGTTTCGTCTGGTGAGTGCATGGAATTACATCATAGACTACCCCAGGAGAGTACCAGCACCCCTGGAGAATCCCTCGCTGACCATCCACGGCCATGCCATTACACTCCTGAGCGTGGGTGCTCAGGCTGCCCCGCGTTCTGGGGAAGAGGGGAGGGGCAAAATTCCGCTCAACACAATAACTGCTCGGGGCAAACTGAGCAAAAAGACCAAGGCGACCCCTGCCACGCTATCTGTGAATTTCTGCAACATCCGGGGACTTCAATCGAACCTAAACAGTTTCCACTACCATCTCGAGACGGCAAAGCCGGCCTTGCTCTTTCTGACCGAGACGCAGGTGTCCTCTCCGGCTGATACTTCGTATCTCTCCTACCCGGGGTACAAATTGGAGCACTCCTTTGTGCCTCGGCCTGGAGTTTGCGTATACGTCAGAGAGGACATCTGTTCTCGACGCCTTGGCAGTCTTGAAGGTTCGGACCTGTCCATCCTTTGGCTACGCGTAGACAGCGATGTCCATCCGCACGTGATGATCCGGAGTGTGGTACCACTCACGCTCCCCTCTCGGTTGCGTTCTGCAGGTTGCCGTCGTGTTTGTCATTACAGGTCGGCGGATTGGGACGGAATGCGGTCTTATTTTGCTTCCTACCCATGGGGGCGGGTCTGCTTCTCGCCGGATGATCCCAACGCTGTTGCTGACTCTGTCACTGATGTGGGGAATGGAACTATTTATTCGATTATCTGTGGTACCCATCGGAGGCAGATCTCAGCCTTAGTTTGGTCGCTCCTGTAAAAGTGCATTACGCAGTAAGCTTGAGTGTTATCAAGCCTGGGCTGCAGCTTCGGCGACTCGGGATGTAAACACCAACACTCATAAAAAGAAGTATAACTTCGCCTCGAGGTCCTTCAAAAGAGTTATTGCCATGGCAAATTCAGAGCACATAGGCAGAATTGGCGAGAAACTAGTTCGCCCTCCTTTGGGAACCCGTGCATTCTGATCTCTCGCCGAGGCTGTCCAATGGAATTTCTGTAAACCATCTCTACCATCTCTGCACGGGGAGGACGACTCACTGGCCCACGACGCAAAAGAGAAAGCCGACCTTTTAGGCTCCCTTTCTGCGTCCAACTCGACTGCTGATGACGGGGGTAACACATTGCCGACCATCCCGTGGTGTAAGTGCTCCATGCTGGATGTGTGTTTCTCACAGCGCTCGGTTCGCAGAGCACTCTTCTCCCTGGACATCCACAAGTCGAGTGGGCCTGACGGAGTCCCCCCAATTGTGCTGAGGACGTGTGCTCCGGAGTTGGCACCGGTTCAAACGCGTCTTTTCCGGTACTCCTACTCCCTAGGTGTAGTCCCGAAATCATGGAAGACAGCTTTTTTTCACTCGATCCCTAAAAAAGGCGACCGCTCAGACCCGTCCAACTACTGGCCTATCGCCATCACCCCCTTGTTCTCCAAAATAATGGAATCCGTTATAAACTGCCACCTCATGCGGTACCTTGGGGATCACCAGCTGATTAATGACCGCCAATACGGTTTTCGTGGGAGTCGATCAGCTGGTTATCTTCTGGTCTACTTAACTTATAGATGGGCGGAGGCAGTAGAGTCCAAGGGGCAGGAATTGGCCGTTAGTTTGGACATTGCGAAGGTCCTTCGATCGGGTTTGGCACAAAGCGCTTCTTTCGAAGGTCCCTTCCTATGGGCTTCCCGAGAAATTGGAACACCAGCTTTCTTGCAGATCGAAGCATCAAGGTCGTTGTAGACGGTGCATGCTCCGACTACAAGCCTATTAACGATGGTAATCCACAAGGCTGCGTGCTATCACCAACGCTGTTTTTTCTGCATATCATTGATATATTGCGAACCGGTGGCATTCATTGCTATACGGATAACAGCACTGGTGATGCTCTATACACCAGTCGTGCCAATATTTCTCGGGAAAACGTCGCCGAGTACCGGAACAAACTTGTGTCTGAAGTCTTTGCTGGACAATCTCTCAGATTGGGGTCGACTAAATCTAGTCCAGTTTAATCCTCAGAAGACACAAGTTTGCGCGTTTACCGCTTAAAAGAAACCCTTTGACGTATCTCCTCAGTTTCAAGGTACTCCCCTTCTTTCCTCAGCCAGTATCGGAATCCTCGGAGTCAACATATCGAGTGACGTGCAGTTTCGTGGTCACTTGGAAGATAAGGCCAAATTGGCCTTTAAAAAGCTTGCCGTGCTCAGCAGAGCGGGACAGTATTTCATGCCGGCACAAAGCCTGCAACTTTACAAGGCGCAGGTTCGGCCTCACATGGAATACTGTTCCCATCTCTGAGCTGGGGTTCCCCAGTGCCAGCTCCTTCAACTTCACCGTATCCAGCGCAGAGCGACTCGAATTGTAGACGAATGAGTCCTTTCCGATTGCCTCGACTCATTGGCGCTGCGAAGAGATGTTGCATCTCTTTGCATTTTATTTCGCATTTACCGCGGGGAATGCTCTGAGGAATTGTTCGGATTAATCCCAGCCGCCAAATTTCACGAACGCACATCGCGGCAGAACTCCCGATATCATCCACACCATCTGGATGATTGGCGGTCCACCACTGTGCGATTTAGAAGATGTTTTCTTCCTCGCACAACTTCCTTGTGGAATAGTTTACCACCAGCGATTTTTCCGGACCGATACGACTTAGGGACCTTCAAGAAAAGAGCCTACTCCTTTTTAAAAGGCCGGCAACGCATCTGCAATTCCCCTGGTGTTGCGGTTGTTCATGGGCGGCGGTAGTCACTTACCATCAGGTGAGCCGCATGCTCGTTGGCCCCTCTCCTATAAAAAAAACACACACACACACATACACCTCGAGGAGATATGCATGCATGCAACTATAAATAAATTGTTTTATTTACATAAAATAGTTTAGCTGTCATTTATATTAGGGAGATCGCACTGACTCCCGTAACACAGGTTTTCTAACCTAGCTCGGGAGCCAGGGACTTAAAAAAATATTGTAACATTTTTTATGTCCATAAATATTATTATTTGGGGTATCTATAAAGTTTTCTCATCTGCTTGGGCAGTATAAATATATAATTGTAAATGAAAATGGTAAACATACATAAATATGAATAAAATAAAATAAATACATAAAAATACATAAATATATAAAAACCCAACCAGATAGAAGCCCTCGGCAGGCGGGACCAAACGGCCGAGGTTTAGGGGGAACGGAAGGGGACGATGCGGGAGCACCGCCTTCTGCATTTGAACTTGGAGCGATACGTCACGGAGTCTGACTGGGATTAACCCGTTCGCAGAAATGACCACAGGAATAATTTCGGCCGGCAGACCACCCCACATGTCGGTCACCCGTGAACCAGGTCCAGATGTTTTGTCAGCTTATCTGTGTCGGCTTTCACGAGGTTCTCGTCATAAGTAATGGTAATGTTGACCAAAAATGCCCCTGACTGTGCCCGGTCCATCAGCACAATATCAATTTTATTTGCAAGAATAGTTCTGTCTGTGATGATGGCCCGGTTCCATTAGAGCCTGGCGCAGTCATTTTCGAGCACAGCTTCCGGCAAGTAATTATAATATGGCAGTTTCCGATCCACCAGACCGTCTTTCAGAGCGATCTCCTGGTGTAGAATCCTGGCTGCTAGGTTGTGTCTGTGCAAATACTCATAGTTAGAAAGCGCCAAACAATCGGAGATGACATGCCTAAGTGATTCACCGAAATGGCACAAGCTCGACAGACGTCAACGATGTCATCCTTTAGGATGTATCTCCGATAATTGTTGGTCTTAATAACCTGATCTTGTATCGCACAGACAAATTCCTCGGTTTCCCCAAAGCGGTCACCGAAACGTAGCCAGTGGAGGGAGGCGACTGTGTTCACGAAAGGCTCATGTAGAGCCTAGTAGAACCTCCCGTGGAGCTCCTTCTCCGTCCATACGGTCTTCCGGTTGTAAATGCTCTGTACGGGTCTTGCCATTGCTCGTTGGCTAAGGATAGAGGGGTAAGTACTTTATCACAAGAAATAACGTCCCTATAGAATGGATCATCCGCTCTCGTCAGAAAGTAATTACGGAGGCTGCACACTTCACGATTATGAATGGAAAGCGTGCTTCCGTGGCAAGTACAGCCTCATTACTGACGACCTTGGATGATGCATCCTGTGGAACGTCATAATAGTGCGGGGTTTTCTATCCAGAGCGTTCAGTTCGGTCTGAGTCCACCTAAGTATGCCAAATGTATACATGAGAACAGGCATGATCCAAACGTTATCTTATTAACGCCCGACAAAAGACTTTTAAGCACTTTTGTCAAGCGTGCATAAAACACACCGCAAACTGAATGTTTCATGTCGGCCTCATCGATACCTATGTTCTGTGACACACCCAGGTATCGGTATGTTTCAGCCTCGGATAGGGTATTTATGTTGATGGGCATAGATAAGTTTATTCCCTCAGAGTTAGCAATCCTATCCCTTTCGACATAGAGGACC